CAAGACATGAACAGACACTTCACCAAGGAGGATATTCAGGCGGCCAACAAACATACGCAGTAATGCTCACTATCATTAGCTGTTAGAGAGATGCAAATCAAAACAACAATGAGAACTGCTCCAGCACTAGTAGCGAAGTTCATCAAGACAGAAAAGAACAAATGCTTGCGAGGATGTGGAGAGATTGGGGCTCTCATACACTGCTGGTGGGACTGTAAAATGGTACAGCCACTGTGGAAAGCAATGTGGCAATTCCTTAAAAAATTGGAATTAGAAATACCGTTTGACCCAGCCATACCATTACTAGGTATATATCCTAAACAAGTGAGAGCCATGACAAGAACAGACATGATGCACACCCATGTTCATCGCAGCACTATTTATAATAGCAAAAAGTTGGAAACAACCTACATGTCCATCAGCTGAGGAATGTATAACCAAACTATGGTATATGCACATGATGGAATACTATGCAACCCTAAAGAATGCAGAATCTGCAAAACATCGTATAACGTGGATGAATTTGGAGCACATTATGCTGAGTGAAGTAAGTCTATCACAGAAGGACAAATACTGTATTAGTCCGTTATTGTAAAAGTCAAGGAATGGTTTATATATGGAAGGAAATTTTCTTTGCTGGTTACCAGGAGTGGGATGGGAGAGGAGGGAACACTGTTAAATATGTAGAGATAAGTATTGATTTGGGTGAAGAGAAGGGCAATGTACCAAATGTGAGTGATCAACATAGTGGCATTGAGGAAGAGGAAGACATAGAGAGGGACATGGGAGGTACAGACAACAAAGATGAACCCTTTTGCACATACAGTACTGCGTTGTCAGTGAAGGCAAACATGGGTATATGGGCGGATGGATGGGTGGACAGGCTGAACTATTAGGTATGTTTGTGAAGCGGGGCATATACCCAAGACCATGTATAGGGTTGGCAGACGGTGGTCTTATAAGTGTACGATCTAAATTCCTAGGTGTATAATAGAGCTGACAAGGGACAAGGTTGTAGTCACTTCTTTTGGTCACAGCCTGCTACCCAGAGGGACCGAGTAGTTGAACCTGTGGGATGGGGACCATTGTCACAGGGGACATCAGGCTTGATTGGCATAACATACTACACAAAACATTGTTCCACCTCCTACTTTGGCAAGTAGCGACTGGGATCTTAAAAGGCTGTAGGCAGCCATCTAGATGCAGCAATGGGTCTTTCCTCATCTAGAGCAAAGAAGCTTGAAGAAAACCAAAAATTCATGGAAACAATTAGACCTAGCAACTGGTGCACCATGTGATCTGCAGCCTGTATGACTATGAGACCAGAAGAACTAGATGGTGTCCAACTACCACTGTCAGCCACTCAGAGGGGGATCTAGGTAGGAGATCCTGGATAGAGAGGGAGAACAATGTGGAACAAAACTCAAAATGATTTTGAAAAGAAAAAGGGGGGGGCAGGTTTGCTGGTATGATAGAGCCTGGTGGAACTGCTGAGACTATGGCCCCTAGCTGCCTCTCAGATCTGGAATTGAACCCACA